CTTCTCTTCTTACAGATATTCTCTCACTAATCTGTGTTATAAGGCAACAGCCTTGCGGGTGTTGAGAGTCACTGGTTAACCTTATCGTCAGACTTTCACCTGTGTCCTTCTCTCTCAATGAGGTGGGCCATCACCACCCTATTTCTTTAGAATGATGCGGTCTCCTCCCAGAAAGATGCAGTTCTGGAACCCACTGTGGATCTGATGTACCACAGATCCTACTGCAAACATTGTGAACCTATCCATTCACCAGCCCTGTGCAGACAGCCCAGTCTGCAGAGAAGTCTGCCTGGGAAGCCAAGGAAAGCCTGAAGCTTCAGGTTGGAGAGAAATTCCTCTTTTTCATTTGTTTTTAAAGCTAGTCTATGGCCATAACACCCTGAACGGGCCCAATCTCATCCATTTTTAAAGCTGTTGATCAGAGATGTTGACTTATAAATTAGTTCTCAGGTGGCTTCCTTGCCTGCCACCTTGGACAGTTCTCACAAAACCCTCTGGGCCTTGTGCCCTTTCAAGACGACATATCCATCTTAGTACTCTGTGCCTGAAGAAAGGTGGGTTACCAGCCATCTCACCTTCTCCAGGTGGAATTGTCCAGGCTAGTGGGCATATGATGGCATGTGTAGACCTTTTTATTCTAAGTTCATGGGAATCCCTATTCTTAGTTGGGCTTCCTCAGGGAAGGTACCCTATGTACAGCTTCTGTCTTACAATAGTGATGCCCGAAATTGGTAAATTATCTCATCCTTTCTCTTTTCTGCCTGAGTAGCACAGGAGCTTGAAAACGGTAGTGTTCAAAACCCACTGAGATCATCTTTCGTGCCTGTATGTTTCATGCAGCCTCCATCCTCCCCTGCATCATCATCCCTGCTGCAGCATCCAGGCCATCAGCTCCACAGCTTGTTCTTCTCCCTAAATCTCAGGAAAGGCTCACTCGTGTCCTTCTTTGCCCCTTCTTACCACAGGAACACCTTCCAAGGGGACTGAGGCATGCAGCTACAGGTGTGGGCCAAACCTCCTCCTGCCAGTGCCCCCGTGGTTGGCTGATGGTTCTTTGGTATGTACCCCGTTGTCCACCATGACAACGTTGTGTTTCAGCCCTGTCTCTGTGCGTGAATATGCTTAGGTGGAGCTTTTCCAGGATTTTAATTCCACCCATCTTGGGCTGGGGATTTAGCTCAGCGGCATGGGGTTTGCCTGGCAAGTGTGAGGTTGTGAGTTCGATTCCCAGTACCGATAAAAACCAAAACAAAACAAAACAAAAACCAAGGGTGGGGGTGGGGGGGAGAAGCCACCCATCTTCTTTTCTTTCTGAGGAAATTCCTTTCCTGACAACCCTTCAGCTGATATAACTTACGCCATCAATTTTACATTGAAATTCCTGTTTCCTATTCAAAACACATTTCTCCTTCAATGCCACCTTAAGAATTCATTGGCTATTGATCAGCTCATCCCACACTGGAACTTCTGGAAACCCCCTGATATTTAATGACAGAGGCAATAATGAGCTTTGTGTTGAATCAGCAACCTCAGATATTGGAGCTCCAAACTGGAGATCCCCATAAAAATGATATGAATGCAAATTGCTCATTTCCACTGAAGGGCATCATTTTTGAAAGCGATTTCTCCATCCTGGTTGCTGTAATTATGTTGATAGCTGCAATGCAAATCTTAACCTTTAACATTTCAAGCACCCTTATGAATCATACAAGCCTTACATAGGATGATTGGATGTGAGCTATTATTTAGGAAGTTTACCAACCTCTCAAGAGAATGTGAGCATACTGAGACATTGGGGAAAAAGTAGAAATATCAGAGCAAATATTCTAACATGTGTTCCAGTAGAGTTGTTGAGTTTTTTCACTCTTATTATGACTTAAGTATAATAATATAATTATTTTTATATATATAATAATATAACTCTATACCTACAAAATGCTTCAGTTCATCTATGATGTCTTCAAGTGCCAGGATCCTTCTGCCTTTTTCATCCTTTGAGGACCCTGTTGACTAAAGCAGGAGTTACTTGCTTCTGGCCATTACGGCTGATGTGAAGTGAAGTTGCTCTACACACACATGATACTGGGCAACAGGCTAAAGGGAAAACAGGATGTGGTGTAACATGACGCACTAAATCCTCCACTGAATCAGGGTTTCACATTTTTCTCAATCCTCTTCCTCTTTTCATCCGCCACTCAGCCTGACCATGCCTCACCTCTAGTCATGAATGGGAAACATCTAACTAGGCCAACACTAGAAAGACTGTAACTGTCAGTGTTCTGCCCCTCCCCCAGTAAACACACACTGGCTCTGAACAAGCATTCTAGCAGGTGGGAGAGAGCTTCCTGATGCAAACATCTGTGGCTGACTAAGCCCACTGTCTTGGCTCTTCTAGTCCCGTCCTTCCATATCCATTTTCTAGCTGGCCCCACCATGCCACACGTCACATACTAATAAGCAACAGCTTCCATTCAGTGACAACTACTCAGTGCCAAGTGTGTCCTGTAAATTATTTTCATTTACCTCCCGCCTCCAATCCAACCTTTTAAAAAAGGTGTAGAGGTTTAGAGAGGCTGCATGACTTGGCCAACATCCATAAGAAAATGGTAGGCCGGCTATGGTTGCACACAGCTGCAATCCCAACATTTGGGGAGGCTGAGGTGGGAGGATGGCAAGTTTGAGCCCAGTCTGTGCAACTTAGCAACTTCGAGAGACCCTGTCCCAATAGGAATTAGTCAGAGTTTGTAAGATTGGAGGGCTTCTGCCTTACAGAGTGTGACGAGAACTGCTGCCTCCTGGGCCCTGCTTGCTACTTGCTGTGTGCCCTGGTCAGAAGCCTCTTTTCTGCCTTTCTTCTAATTACTTCTTATTCATTTTTGACCTTCACTCAGTCATTGCTTCCTTAAGGAAGGCTTCTCTGACGTTGCTTACTAAGCCAGCTCCCCTCGTGATAGTAGATTGTGAAATAAATCTAGAAAGTTAGGACTAGAACTTTTGAATAAAGGTTATAAAATAGAATGGAATAAGAAAATGTCAGGATATTGCACAGAAGGGTAACTATGCTCTTACAAGCTTTCCTTTTGTGTACTAGTAAGGTAATGTACCACCTTATAATACTGTTTAAGATTTTAATTTGTATTAGTACGTGTTTGCAGCACATAATAACTGCACTCATCCTGGGGAGCTGGCACATGCACAGAACACATTTTAGTTCTTTTTTCCCTTCCCTTCTATCCTCTCTCCTTCGTGGTCCACTTCCTTTTTACAAAAGCTCTATCTTTTACATTTGCAATTGTGTGTGTGTGTGTGTGTGTGTGTGTGTGTGTGTGTGTGATTATTAAGTATTACCTCACTCTCTAATTAGACAGTAAGCCCCATGAGAGCAAAGGACTGCATCTTCTTGCTTTTCATTTTATCCTTATATGTTAATCAAATCAAGAACTCATCTAAACACTAGAAGTGTATTTTGTGAGCCATTGGAAAGAGAAACATAGGCTTGGGAACTGACCCTTGGTGTACGGAGCACCTGCACCCTTACACTTCATAGCAGGGCTATCGTTAGCATCACCTGTGCAAATTTCAAAGGCTCCTCAGTGTAATAGTTTAGAACAAGATTTCCCATAACTGGTATTTATTTTTAATAGTATTCAAACAGAAAATGAAATATCCCCAGGTGTCACATGAAGTGCTAAGTTCAGGAAATCTGATATTACTCTAAACTGCTTTACTCCTTGAGAGAAGATTGAGAAGTCTAAACCTTCTGGAGAATCACATAGAACAATCTTTCTTTCCTGATATAAAATTCCCTGAGGAAATTTTAGAGACAATTACAGAAATAATGAATTGACATCTCACCATTACTGGTGGACGCTCTCTGTTTTCCCCCCTATGAAGCTTTTACTGTTTTTGTAATCAGCTTCTAGTTTTTTCCACTGTCAGTTGTCATTGTTTTCCAAAATGGAATGGTGATGAATCCACAACAGGTGAGTGGGAGAAAACACCCCAACCTGGAGCAGGGGTGGGATATCTTGCTTTTTGCCACAGCTGAGAAGCTGCGGCTCTTGTTTCTTTCATTTTTTTTCCCGGTACTGGGAACTGAACTCACGACCTCGCGCTTGCCAGGCAGGTGCTGTGCCGCTGAACTAAATCCCCAGCCCGGTCTCTTGTTCCTTTCCAGGGGAGAAATGAATTACATTCTCACTCTCTTTGTGGCTATCTCTGTATACTGTCTTGGTGCATGGTGTGTTTCTATTCTATTGCAACCTTGGTTAACTTTCTTGTTCAGGAATGAGGCTGGGAATTTCCTCGGGGAGTTTTATATCAGCAATACGTGACCCTTTGTGTTATTGTTGGCAGTTGTGAATACCATCGCCACACTTCAGTGGCAGAAATCATCCCCACAATTTTCCTCCTCAGAATCCATTTCTAAAAACATCAAAGATGTGTTAGGGACACAGCCATAGCCAGGGTTAGGTTAGGGTGTTTCAGGTTGGGAAATTCCCGCAAAGGTCTTTACTGCTTCTTGGGGATGTTTAGATGCAGGTGCTGACTCTCCAAGGGGTTGAGTTGCTAGTCCTCTGAGTGGGATAAGCTTACTCTGAAATTGTGGAAATAAACCTTTCGGGTTAATTCTGTTTAAAAAATCTTGTATATTTGAAGCAATAGAATACTATAGAGTGAAAAATAAATAAGGGAACACACAAAAATGAGAATTTCTATAGCACTCTGGCCTCTTGGGGCATGAAGAGCATTTCCTATCATCTGTGTCCTGGTAACTTTCATCATTTCCTCATTGTCATCTTGATCTAGTGACACGACTGCTTTGACAGTCAAGAAAATATACTGTTTGATGTCAGAGTTAAAAACACAGGTGACTGAACAGCATGTAAGATATTCTAGGGATTTTCACACAAGACCCACCCTGCCTCCTACGTTCCTTTAAAAGCAAGATAATCTACGTTCCTAGAAGTGGAACACATAGAAATGAGACTTCCCAAAACACTGGCCACAAACTCCAAGAAATGTCAGTTGCACCTATGGAATAATCATAGAAAATGAAATTATTTCTCCAAGAATAATCTTTCCCAGAATTTGATGCTGGGAATTACCATAAAGGAGGGAGTCATTACTCCAGAAAATTACTTCCTGTAAGTTCAGTTAGTATAAAATGTAACGCAAAGCCACACCTGTTTATTCTATCTGCTTGACCTCTGGCTCCACCCAAGACAATGAATGTGCAAAGTCTACTTGCCCTTTAAAATGTTGGTCATTTTTCTTATAATAGAAAGTATGTCAATAAATCTGGCCATGAGTTCTGAAAAGTGAGATTCTAAAGTATTACACTGAAGCCAAGAGCAGTGACCATATATGCTAATCACATAGCTGGTCTGATGGTTCAGCTAGGAGGGAGGAGATTTTTTTCTTCCTCTCTACCTACCTACCATCTCCACTCTTTTCTTCCTAGGACTTCCCTATTACTAAAATATTTTTCTTAGAAGAAATATGACCCCATAAGGCATATGTTATTATAAAATTCTTTGATAGAGCCGTTGTCTTGGACATTTTAGTCAGGTGTCTGCTAAAGAAAGAAGTGTAGTTATCTACAGAAAAGAATTTCAGACATAAGACAGCACACAGAGAACTTGAGAAAGGAAAAAGTTGCTCTGTCAGCAGAGCCTGAAATTGCAGCAGTCCTGCTAATAGAAAATGTGCAATGCCTGTGCTATCAGGGACCCTAGCCTAATCTGAGTAGAGTGCGTTGAAACTTCAACTACACTGCCTTGTGCCTTAACTAATTTTCAGACTTATTCTAAAGTATATTATTATTATTATCTCACTTAATCATAAGTGAGATAGTGCTGTTGCATAAATATTTTGTGAACAATTCTGCTGCATAATTATTTTGTGAACAATTCACGGTTTTTAGAAACTATTGAGGCATTACTGGCTAGGAAAAAGATGTATTTAATGAACACAACTTGATTACTTTGAAGATAATTATACCCATATAAAATTACCATACCAACAAGCCTTTAACCATCCATCATCTCTTAAAGT